AGCTGACTTAGACTCCAGGCTTAAAACTGATCCTAATTCACACTGTGACTTGCCTTTGCCAACTTATCTTTCTGTTTTAATTGCCCACTTATGGGCATTTATGGGCATTCAGTCTTCCCTTCTGCCTGGGATATCCTGAGGATAAATGAAACACAGACCTGAAGCATTCTGCAAATTTGAAGGTCTTTTATAAAAGTAAGAGGTTTCTTTGATTTTTTGTTGTTTCTATATAAGTTGGTATCTCCTTGTGGCCCACCCAACTTCTGCTCGCTCAGCTAAGATCCTGCGTCTAGCACCTAGCTCACTGCTTGCTCATGTGTTTACATATTTACCTATTTTTCCCCCTGCTCCTTACTGTTTCTTGGTTCAGGCAAGCCATGATACAGAGCTCTCGCTGCTTCCAGTTACCTAGAAAAACATTCTTCTGCTTCCCACCTGGCATGATGGCTGGAGTATTGATCTGTCAGTTAGATTAGTGAGGTGCCCTCAAGAGGGAACCCTGAGAGTTCTTATCCACTCCTGGTTTACATACTGCTCACTGTCTAAATGCAGCATAGTATCATGCTTAGACGTATTCTAAGATGTGAAGGGCTCAAAGGCTCCCTAGTGACCTGGGCATCCCTGAACCTTGGGGTCTGTATCCTGTGCATCCTCAGGGGACCAACCCACATGCTTTGCCTGGGCTGGACTTTCTCAATTGCTCCAGCCCTGAATCCTTCACTGCAATAATTTCTTGATTAATCTTGGTCCCCTGGGTTCTAAATAAACTAAGCACCCAACACTTATCTTCCTTCTTAAGATCCTGCATGGAATATGCAAGGTGGGCAAAGATGGCACAGGAGGGAGGGTAGAAGGGAGGGAGAGGTGAGGCTGGAGGGCTGTTTTGTTCTACCATCAGGCCACGGCCCAAAGCCGAGAGCTCACCCCCAGAATCTACAAACAACTCCCCATGGAGAATCCTCACCAAGCTGGCAATGGGCTCCTCTTTTCCAGGGGCTGGGGAACATGGTGTGGGGTTGGCATCTCCTCTTTTCTACCCAGCCTTAGGATGCCAAGCAGATGAGGGTGAGGGCACAGGCTCCTCCCCATTTATAAGGCAGCTGCCACCAAAGCAAAACATATTCCCTCTCTTCCCCTCCAAACCAAACAGAGTTTGTCAAACAGATGAATAAGAAGAAAAGGGACAATTTTCCTTTATGTTAATAAATTGCTTTGGCCTAAAAAACATTAATCAATTTCTTTGCAAAGCACACACACTTCTCCATACTCTGCTATTTGCCTGGCCTTGAAAAGAAAGTCACTTTCAATCCCCTTTAAACTGTCAAGACCAGTGGGGGCAGTCTCAGCGGGGAGGGGGGAGCTCCCCAATCCCCAGTGATTATAATGGAGCCCGGCTGCGTTTCCATAGAAACGCGGAGTGTGTTCTCCCGAGTGTGCAAGGAGGGGAGGGGTGGAGAGTGATGCCGAGGGCCAGGTGTGTAATCACTGAGGAGACAAAGGTGCAGATGAGAGGTGAGGCATGTCCCTAAGACCTGGAGACCAAGAACTATGTGAAGAAGCATGGATCCAGCAGACTGCGTCCCAAGCAGGGTGACGGCACCTGCCACCATGGCCATTTGTACAACTACCCACCGGAAGTTATTAAGCCCCACACTCAGCTGCTTCTCGGGGTGGGGATGAACCTGTCCAAGGTCACCTAGCCAGTGGGCAGTGCCACCTGGGTTCAAACCAGTGGGTGTTCAACTCCATCTTCTGCCTCGGGCTGCACTTCAACCTGTGTCCCTGAGATGGGGTTAGTGTCTGTCTCCTGGCTCTTCCCCCCAGGTTGGCCAGCTCTGCACACATTCTGGATTCACCCACAGCTACTTTTCCTAATAGGTGCCGGGGCACCTATAAATCTTGACAAACTCAGGTGGTGTGTTGCTGGACTTGCTTGTTTGATTTCCAAAGTCAGAAATCTCACATGTGAGAAGAAATCTGCTGCTGCATGTGTTCACAGCATTGGGAGGAACAGATGGACAAGGACCTGGAAAGCAGGGGCAGTGGAGAGAAAGAAGAAGAATGTTTTGAAAGCAACTGTTAGTGTAATCGCTAACTAGTACCCTGGGAAGTGAGATCCATGGGGACAGTATCCAGTGTGTCTAGCTCCCTGGCATGTCGATGGGACCTAGCACAGTGTTGAGCTCAGATGGAAGCATGGAAGGATGGATGGATGGGTGGGTGGGATGTTCTATACCATATAGCATGGAAAATTCTAGAACGAGCTGGTACTCATTCTCTTTGACTCTGCTTGACACTCTACAATGAAGATGGTTTTTCTGATGCACTAGGTAGGATGGCTCTATTTAAGGGGAATAGTGACTATGAATGCTCCCTACTTGTGAGCCATGTTTTCCCAGTGCTGCAAGGGTAAGAATCAGAGCTTGCAACTTGCTGTTTTATATTCCTGCCTTGGTGCAATGCAGAGGTTGCTGGGGACAAGTCTCCCCAGACTCTGAATCCATCACATTAAGTTTCCACTGGGAAGAACAAGGTCCAGGTGGTGCAGACATAAACCCACTCATCCCCCCAAGACTGATCAGGGTGCAGGATCTGCGATGCATACAGAAGTATGAGAGTCACTGTGTGAGTCTGTGGGTGTCTCTGCCCGCTGATCTGGCACATCCTGGGCTTTGGCTGGAAGGTCCCTAACAGGCACAATGTTGACCTGAGGGCTCAGACACTGGACTAGCAGTGCCAGAAGGCCCCAGAGAGTGCTGGTCTGTCTACCATTCCTTCCCCAGAGCCTAGAACAGGGATTAACACCTGGAAGATGTTCAACCAGTACTTATTAGGGGACAGGTATTTAGACCTGATGCCCACTCTGTGGGGCACACTGTTTGGGCACTGCCTCTTCATCCTCTGAGTGGGTGCCCTGCTCACTTGGCACATGAGGAGTCTGCTGCTCAAAAATGGGAAAAGACTCCCCAAGATCTCACTGTTGATATGCTGAGGAGGTTTGCTTTGAAAACCACTTCCTGTTTTCTTCCGTCATATAGGTCACCCACCAGGATTATGTCCCTACAGAGAGGATCAGGGAGGAACAGAAAGAGAAAGAATGCAAGCAGAAGAGAGGAAAATCTGGGGGAAGCTCATCAAAAACCCAGAAGTGGGGCAATTAGATGCCCTTCCCCAGGGCTCCCCATGAACCCGTCCTCATCCTGCTGCCTACAGAACAGACTGCTCCCCTTGTGTCTCTCAGCCAGTTTCTTCCCTCTCAGAATGCTCGGTGACAAGGCATCTTTGGGGCTTCATTAGTCACATGTGGCAATTGTGATTTACCTTCTCAGCAGCACTAACCTGAGTTCTGAGAGGTGATATGAGGATAGTAGGCGAGGGCAGGTGACCCTTTAATGAGGGCTTCTTTTCAGCCCTTGCTGGGGATGGAGGTTCTAGCCAGTCATGCCACTTCCCAAAGCAGCGTGGGCAGGGTCTTTGGTCTTCTGTGCACATCATTTTCCTCCTGGCTGAACAGGAGTCTGTTCTGCCTTCTTCGTGACCCCACATTCCCTCCCCCTCCACTCCCCCATGCGGGCTCCTCATCCTTGGACCTCCCGAGAACCCTGGTGCCAAAGCAGGCAACAAACACATCTGAAAGCCTAAGGCCTTCTCCAAGCGCCTGGCAGAGGTGAACCTCCTTGGGGGAAGAGAACTGTTAAGACGGGGGAGCTCCTACCCACCGCAGCCATGCCTAACAGGAACCCTTCTTTGCAGCCAGATTCACTGGGTTCTGGGAGGCCGAGCAGGGCCACAGGTAGGCTAAGGCTGGCTCCCCAGCTTCTCTGACACACAGAGCTCAGGGGGAGCACAGCACCCACTCCTCAGAGATTGCAGCTGCTGCTCCAACTCCCTGCTCACCTCATCCTGCGGGCTACAGAATAGACTGCTCCCCTTGTGTCTCTCAGCCGGTTTCTTCCCTGGAAAGCAGGGGCAGCAGAGAGAAAGAAGAAGAATACCCCAGGGTATCCAAGACTTTTTAGTGTAGCCGTCCTGGGTGACTAGAATTCAAAGAGAGTTACACTTATCAAGCATCTCTGCCCGGCCTCAGGCTGCCTGGAAAATGGGTGGGACCCAGTTGGCATTTGACCTTTGAGATAGCAGTTAATTCTCCTGCAACATCAGAGGGCAGGAGACTCTGCTGCCTCTCAGTTACATGGTCCCCACAGCTCACATCTACTTCATAGACCTTTGTGGCCATCAACACAGAATCACCAAGTCTGTGCATTAATGATTCTAAAATGCACAAATGAAAAAAGGAGACTGGTCCTTCACTAAAGGAATATTTAATCTCTCAGAACAGAGGAAATGCTGTGAGGTGCTCTCATATGTAAATTTCTCAATACACCTTGTTAAGTCGAGAAGCAATTTGAAGAGCAAGGCCCAGTACACCAGCAGTGCTGGTGATAATGAGATGCCAGCAACAGGGGCAAAAGCAGGAAGGGTGGCCCCATGTCAGACACTGCTCTGGGCACATCATCTGTATCATCTCACCTTACACATGCCAACTCCCAAGAAGGTGCCATTACTGCTTCCATGTCACAGATGAGGAAACCGAGCTCAGTTTTATTTGAATGTTCCTTTTATTATTAAAATATTTTATAATGAGGCAGTTTTCATGCCTAATGTATAATAGCCTACATTAACAATAAGGACTGCAGATCCACCAAGACGGCTTCCAGTATTTACTGAACACCCAGCAGAGCCTCTCTGTTACATATTATATCCACACTTGGTAACAGCCCTGTGAGGAACGCACTGCAGGTGTCAGTTCAATCTATGAACAATGAGGGGTTCAGAGAGGTGCCATAACCTTCTCAAGGCCACACAGTCAGCCACTGGGTCTCTAAGGACCAGTGACTTGATTCCAAAGCCTGTGCTCTTCGTGCCAGTTGGGGACCTGGTGACGCAAAATCAGTGTGTTTTGATTTGAATTTACTTTTCTTCTTTCCTCTGTTTTTCAGTGTAGAGTATGATTTTCGGCAGCAGGAAGGAAGGTTCCATGAAGTTCTGCAGAGTCTAGAGGAAGTGGAACCAGTTGAGGAAGCATCTTCCCCACCAAAGTCCCCAGCAGAACCCCCGGCCCCTGAGAAACAGGATCTGAGGCGGAAAACGAAGAAAGTGAAGAGGAAGTGCTTCTGGTGGATCTGAGCTCTTGAGGTCACCCTCTGAGCTCCCAGGGCCTGTTTGTCAATCCTTTCTGTCTGAGCCTCCCGGGCTTCTTTACCAAGGCCCAGGGCTGGGAGCCCTTGACCTGTGAAGCCAGGGAGCTTGGGGCCTATGTGGCCGCTGCTGGACACTCGATCACCCACCCGATCTGAGTGTGTGCCGCTGCTTGCTGAGGACTTCACAGACTCTGGTGTGACCATGAACTGAGTTCCCTGTCACACATGGCCAGGCCTCGTCCCCATCTGCTACATCCAGATTCCCACCACGGGCAAAACCCCCACCGCACTTTCCCACACCACCATGATGCTGAGCACTTCATCCCGTCCTGGTCTCATGAACTCAGAAGGGAAAAAAAAAAGAAAGAAAGAAATGCTGTGCAGAGCAGGAAGATAGAGGAGGGTTATAAGCAGATATCCTGGGGAAAAATCAGATGAAAACCCTGGGAGTTTCCTAGCTATCAGCGCACATGGGCACGAGAGAAAAGCAAGGTCATCCTGGCACATTGGGGTCCTTTTCATTTTTAATTAGCCACTCCATCCCAAACCAAGGAGCACTGTCACACAGTGTGGGCCTTCAGTCCATGCAGTGTAAGGTCACCCCAGGGTATCCAAGACTTTTTAGTGTGGCCGTCCTGGGTGACTGGAATTCATCAGAGAGTTACTGACACTGTAGTTTTTAACTTATCAAGCATCTCTGCCGGGCCTTAGGCTGCCTGTAAAGTGGGTAGGACCTAGTTGGCATTTGACCTTTGAGATAGCAGTTAATTCTCCTGCAACATCAGAGGGCAGGAGACTCTGCTGCCTCTCAGTTACATCTTATCTGTGACATATAGGAGGTGAACCTGAGACACAACACTCCTTCTCATCCATGCATCCCTGTGCCAGCCTCGTAGCTAGGAAAACACACACCATTCCACTTGGTCTCCCTTCCTGGAAACCAGGCAACGGTCACTTGATTGAAGAGGCAGCAGATATACATTTCTCCATTCTAGCATTGAAGGCCTTCCCTTCCCAAAATCTGAGTTCTTTGGGTCTGGCTCTTTCTTTTGACAGGACCCCTCTACCTGGGGAGTCCAGGAAAACTTGTATGGCTGTGCCAAGCCCTAACATAGAAGGAAGTAATTGCTTCATACTCTTGAGGCTGATGGGTAGGGTGGCAAGGCTCAGATTCCTGCACATTAAATTCCTTGCTGGCCTGTGGTTGGATTGAAGCCACAGGAATGAGTCCTAAAGCTAACTCAGCTTTAAAGGAGGAAGGCACTTCAGGGACCCTTGGCCCAGGACCCAGGGTCTCAGTGAAAGCCTTGGTAGTGCACGGCACCCCGTGTGTACATGGGACGTGTGTACCCTACTGCCAACTGAAGCTAATTGAGCAAACCACCCTGCAGCTTCACCTTCCCCTCTGAAAGGCCTGCAGTGCACAAAGCTATTTCAGGGAGAGTGAGAGGGAAATTTGGCAAGGAATCTCAGCTTGCACTATTTAAGTCTTTGAATGTCATTCAAGATGCTCTTGTTCTGCTTCTAGTATAATGTTTAAACCCACAAAATGAGACTGGAATACATAACGTCAAGTTAGAATTAAGATAAATGCACTTGTCATACTTAAGAAACCACATTTCAATAAGACATGCTACCACTGGCTACAAGCCACTGATCTCTCTGTCTGTATCCATACAGTCTGTTCTCAGTGGGCCCCAGCAATGGAAAAGAACAGCGCAGAGGATAATCCAATAGGGCGAAATCATTTGAGATCTCTTATGTAATTTTCTCTTGTAGTAGAGTTTCCATCTTAATTTGGTTTGCTTACGCTAATTTCAAATGAATTTATATTCTTAGGCATCATGCTGGAATGGAAATAAGCCTGTTCCCAGAATTAAGACACCCAGGCAACAGAGCAGTCTATTCCACTAACCTTGGGCAAGTCGCTTAACTTTTCAGGGCCTGTTTGTCCATCCTTGAATGGTGAGAGCGCCTGCTTTACCTACTCTGCAAGATCCGGGCAACTTCCAACTTCAAATGGACAGAGCCACTCAGCTATCGAGAGCATTTGCCCCAGTGAGCCTGGGAGAATACAGCTCACACAAAATTAAGAAGCTCCTGGCATCACACACATATCCAGCTGGGGACCTTGCATCAACCCTCAACTGAATTAAATGAAGTCAGAACTGAAAAATGTTGATGTTTCCAGAAATAAAACCAACTGAGGCTCTACTGATTCTATACCAAAGCACAACACCGCATTGCTTGGGCCACCCACCTGAAAATGAGACGGAGGTCCCTTCTGAAAATCAAACATTCAAAATCATTATGAGGAAAAAGGATTTGATAAACACCTTCCTGACGGACAAAAAGGGTTGTATCTGTGCTTAAACAACTACACATACATACACCAAAACTCTACGTTCACCTCCCCATTGCAGACCGCTGCTCCTTTGTAAAGTATTGGTGACATCGACCATGATATTCTACAGAAATGCTTCACTGGAGGCGATATGGTTTTGTGGAGAAAGATTAACTTAGTAAAAATTGCTTTTATAAAACTGAAGGGGGAAAGATTGATACATCAACTTAAATTGCAGGAATTTATGTAGCCGCTTTCTCTGTAGTTAAACAGTGCGTACCGCTGCCCCGGATCTCCGTACCTGCTCCCGTATAGAGCACCTTCTTAAAGACAATGTACTAATGTAAGGTTTTGTAAATTTCTAAACCGTTTTAAATGGAATATTATCTTTTGCAATAAACTTACATATTTTTCCTAGGTTTGAAGTCTCCATTATTGGAGGGGTTGATTTAGATTATAAGCAAGCCTTGATGGTCCTGGAGGGCAAGGATGGCATTTGTTATAATTGCTTTAAGACATTTTTCAGGGATAAAGAAAGAACAGATTTAGAAGTTAGTGTCTCGATGGTCACATGGAGCCTCTCCGTGTGAGGGAGGTGACAGGAATCAAGGCAGGCATCCCCAGTCGCATTCAGGATTTTTATCATTAGGCCCATACACCTGGCTCTTATTTACTCCATGTTTTCCTTTATTTCCTGCTTAATTTGTTTGTTTTTAAAAGGTTCCTTTGTGTCACCAATACAAAGAAAAGCAGAATCATCATCCAAAAATAGAAAACAAAATAACAGTAACTTTATTATATTCAAAAGTGTTTGTGCTTTTGAAAGTTGGGGGTGCTGGGCCCTAGACCAGCTCTTTGTGAAAAGGGTTACAAGCCCCACTGAGTGCATCATAAAGCCACCTTGACACCAGACCATGTTCCACCCGACGAATCAGGAGGCATGAGAGAGAACTGAAAAGAAAACACTTCCTTATCAGGTGAGCCAACCCTCTCCATAACCAACTGCACCCCAAGCCAACGTGTGGGAGTCAGGAGACTCGGGCCCCCACTTCAGGAAAGACCAATTTAGGAGGAATCAAAACCAAAACCGAAACCTGGACCAGCAATCAGAAATCTTGGGTTTGGTAGCATTCTGCTCCTTTCTCTGTTCTAGGTGACCTTGGGCAATGGCTTAACCTCTGTGAGCCTCTGACTCCTCTTTATATAAAGCAGAACCCCTACCTGACGAGGGTGTCCCCACAATCACACAGCAGGCACTCAGCAACACACCTGCCTTCCTTCACTGGTGATTGAAGTAAATTGTGAGGGGGGAGGGAAGACGTCCCCAGGTGGCTGCAGCTGGCGCCAGACACAGGCTCAAGGTTTCCTCAGGGTGAGGGACAAATTGTTCCTGACCTTATTAGAACCATCAAAAACCATGGCGATACTTGGTGAGGAACCAAGTGGAGTGACCCAGAAGAACACCGGGCACATGGGACCCGCCCGCAGTCTGGGATCCGAGGATTCTTGAAACACAGAATCACATATCCCAGAAATGAAGGAGACTTCAAAGCCAGGTCCCTTCCACCTGAAGCAGGGGCCAGTTAGATGAAGGCGGCCTAGATGAGCTGCCGGGAGCCTTGCCACAGTCACCCAGGGAAGGAGGTGCTGGGTGGGGGGTGATGTGTGAGCTCCATTGGTTCACTGCTCACGGCAATTCGCTATCTGCTCAAAAGGTATTTTGTTTTAAGTTCCAAGAAACAAAGGTGCTCTGTGATCATTATGCCCAGCCACCAGGAAAAGGGAATGGGCACACATGCAAACCCAGCCTGGGTCATGTATTGGGGCAAAACACACCACCAGCTTCACAGTCAGGACCCTGGTGGGTCCTCTCACTCAGCTTCCCCTCCAGCTGCTTTTTACCAACCTGAGGCCTAAATTCCTGCGACACCTCCTGGCGCCTGGTACCCCTTCTTTGCATTTCCGTGCACCTCCCGTGGAAGGGCCTCCTGTTCCAAACCACTTTGCATCTCCACGGGCCTCCACAGGGATCTCCCAGTGGGCTGCCTGCTCCCACCCCCTGACTCCTCCAGTACTTTCCCCTCACAGCAGCCAAAGCAAGCACTACAAAAATTTAGACCTGAACCATGTCGCACATTGCCTGAAAACCATTCAGTGGCTTCCTGATAAACTTAGGGAGTTAAGTCCATGACCCAGAGGCTGGGAGGACCCGCCCCTGCCTCCTCTCCTGTGAACTCCAGGGGGCGCTTTGCCTGTGTGACCTCTGATGGTGTCGAGGCTCCTTGGGTTCCACAGACCCACCATGCTTACAGCCCCTAAAGGATCAGGAGACACACTTGTTCCTGCATGGAGTGTCCCACACCACACCCCCGCCCTGCCCTGTTGCCAGCTCCATTGAGGCTTGCCGGATAGTGACGCCAGTGACTAAGACCACGCCAAGGGCACTTTTTAGTCTCACCTGGCAACAGAGACCTTGCTCTCTAAGTCCTTGGCACAGTTGTCCCTGTGCACTAATCTATGTTCTTCTTTGTGGACTGCATTTCTCCCTAAGGCCTGCATCCTTTAAGGTAGAATGTGCATATTTTGGGCATCCCTGCATTCCCAGCACTCACCACAGTCGGATTCAGATATTTGCTGCAGGA